CATAGTCAATAAAGCACAGGTAAACATCTTTCTGATATTCTCTGCTTTCAGCCAAGATCCATCAGACATCAGCAATGATATCCCTCATTCCTTGGCCTCTTCTAAATCCAGCTTGAAACTTTGGAAGTTCTCTGTCAATGTAGGCTTGCAGCCATTTCTATATTACCTTTAGTAAAACTTTACTCGCAAGGGATATCAAAGATATTGTCCGATGTTTTCCACATTCCATTGGGTCACCTCTCTTTGGTATAGGCACAGGTATGGATCTTTTCCAATCAGTCAGCTATAAGTGATCCTTAAAGTGCTTCCATAGCTCTTGCCTCTCTTTGTTGTTGTTGTTCAGTGCCATCGAGTTGACCATGCCTTAAAGCAATACTGTATAGGATTTCTGAGGAACAGCCGTTGTGTTTGAACCATCAATTTTGTGGTTAAGAGTTCAATGATTACCCTACAGCACCACACCTTGACTCCATGTTGTTGTTTTTGTTAGTGCCTTTGAGTCAGTTCCAACTCATAGCTATCCTTTATAGGGTTTCTGAAGAGTGGCCAGTGAATTTGAACCACCAACTTTGTGGTTCAAACTGGCCTTGCAGTCCAGTGCTTTATCCCACAGGGCAACACCAGGACATTACCACACCAGGTTGTTATTGTTGTTAGGTACTGTCAAGCCAATTCCAACTCATAGTGACCCTATGCACAACAGAATGAAACACTGCCTAACCCTGGGCCAACCTCACAATCGAAGTTAAGCCTGAGCCTCTTGCCTCTGCCAATATGCCAATCCATCTTCTTGGGAGTCTAACTCCCTTTTTCTGACCCTCCACTGCACCAAACATGATATCTTTCTCCAGTGATTGGTCCCTGAAAGTATATCCAAAATAAGAGATATGAAGTCTGGTCATCCTGGCTTCCAAGGAGCACTCTGGCTGTATTTCATTTAGCACAGATCTGTTTGTTCTTTTGGCAGTCCATGGTACTTTTATATTCTCCCCCAAAACCATAACTCAAATGTATCAGTCCATCTACGGTATTCCTTGTTCACTTTCCAAATTTCTCATCTATATGAGGTTATTGGAAATACCATGGTTTCAGAGGGCACATTTTAGTCCTCAAAACTGACATCTTTGTTCTTCAATACTTTAAAAAGTTCTTGTGCAGAAGATTTGCCTAATGCAATACATTGTTTAATTTCTTGACTGCTGCTTCCATGAGTGTTGATGGTGGAGCCGAGCAAAATGAAGTTTTTGACATCAATGTTTTCTCCATTTATAAGGGCGTTGTTTATAGGTCCAGTGGTGAGGAGTTTTGTTTTCTTTACATTGAGATGCAACCCATACCGAAGGCTAAGAGCTTTGATCTCATCAGTATTTTAAGTTCTCTTGGTTCTTAGCAAGCAAGGTTGCATCATCTGCATATTGCAGGTTGTTAATGAGTCTTCCTCCAATCCTGATGGCATGTTTTTCTTTGTGTAATTCTTCTTCTCAGATTATTTGCTCAGCATACGGGTTGAATAAGTATGGTGAAAGAATACAGCCCTGACACACACCTTTACTAACTTTAAACCATTTAGTGTTTCCTTGTTCTGATCAAACAACTGTCTCTTTGTCTATGTATAGGTTCATCATGAGCATAATTAAGTGTTCTGAAATTACAGCAGTTTAGCAAGGTTTAATTTCAAAGTTAGAAATCTGTCCTTATGGGATATATTAATGTTACAAGAACACCCAATAAGCTTTACCCTCACATTCCCATTAATACTCAAAAAAGAAATGTCTTTTGTTTGCTGTTGTTAGGTGTCTTTGAATGGTCTGACTCATAGTGACCCATGCACAACAGAAGGAAACACTAACATCCCATGTCATTACCACACCTGTTAATTGCGTTTAAGCCCATCGTTGATGCCATTGTGTCAACCTATATCTTTGGAGCTTTCCCTCTTTTGTGCTGAACATCACCTTTACCAAATATGATTTCCTTTCTTCCATTCACTCCATTATGTTCAACTCTACTTTGAGAAGGCAAATTTTACCCAGTCATATATTGGGTGCCTTCCAATGTGAGGAAATCATTTTCTAACTCTATTTCTCACAATTTTCTGTTGTTATTCATAATGTTTTCATCTTCTGACAGCATATCTGACAATGTTCCACAGTTATTCATGAGATTTTCAGTGGCTAAACACTCATAAGAAGTCCATCTAGCCTTCCTCCTCTCATTCTTAGTCTGGAAGTTCTGCTGAAATCTATGGCTAATATCACTACCCTTTAAAACACCAGTAGAACAGCCTCCAAAGTCACAGAAACACACAAATCACCACAGTGCGAAAAACTGACAGATGATTGGTGACATTTTGTGTAAGTAGTTTCAAAATGTCAATAGTGCTGAAGTTGAGAAACCCTGGTCTAGATGATTAAGAACATTATCTAAAGCATCTCATGCATTCTTTTACTTTATCATGGTGTTGAAAATACTATATAAAATAAATCTCACAATCTTTCTCTATCATTTTGCTCTACCTCAATTTTTTTTCATAGCATTTCCCATAGTTTAAATGTTTTTATTAGTTCACCTCTTCATTTACATTTTTCCTTAATGGAATGTAAGCTCTTTAAGGCAGTAACTAGTTTTTCTTCATAACTTTGTCTCTAGCATGTAAAACAAAGTAGATTCTTAATAGACATTCTTTCTATACAATGATCAAAAATCTCCTGAAAGCCTAAGATCAAAAGACAATAAAAATAAAACAAATAAGACAGCTATCCTCCTTACATTAATTAAATGTTTACAAATATACTGCTTTGTTACAAGTACTATTAGGGAACAATCTCAATGCTAAGCACATTTTTTATACAAACCTTACAGGATACATTGAAAACTTCTGGAGTTGTTTTAGCAAATCATGTAGTATAAAAGGGAATAGAGGATGATATAAAGAAAAAAAATTGGGATAGAGTAGCTAGCTTTATCTATAGAGCTAAAGAAAGAAGGTATTTACTAGAAGAATTTATTACAAATAAAATTAATTATTTTCAGGAGTTTTTTATGGCATTACTGGAAGTGAGTTGAAAACAATTTTGTTGTTGTTGTTTTTAACAACAGTATCTACTACACATCACTATGATGATGATTTTCACTCTGAATTGCAATCTTCTTTTATACCTCTCTGTTCTCCTCAATTTGTACATAGTAGAAACAAATACACATTTAGTTAAATTTAATGGAATTAAAGTGAATAGAAGACATACTGAACAAAACTTTTCTCATGAAAAAAATTGTAATTTTCTAGTAAATTATTTATTTATTTATTAGTAAAAATTCTTTTTTTGGCCTCAAAGTCCCTTATTCTTTTCAAAACTCTCTTAATATCCCTCACAGTCTTTATGAATTGTCTTCATTTGGTTCCTGCAGAAGCAGACACTGAGCCAATTATTTGAGTACAAGAAAGTTATCAATGGACCAAGGAATATGATGGGAAAGAAGAGAACTGACACAAGAGATAATACCTCCAATAATACTTGTAGTGAATCAATTATTACAGTGAGTAAGCAAAATTTTCATTCTGTGGGGAAATTTTAGAAAAACCAACACCTCAGAATTATCCCAGGTAAAGTGGTATATCCCAGATCTGAAAATGAAGGGCTGGTTCTGGAAGTACACAATTCCAGGTCACTTCTGCCATTATGTTTTTGCATAGTTGATTCCAACTGGTGCTGTTCATTGTCAGACTGGTCTGTAATGAAGATCATAAGAGGTACTTAGAGTATACTGGAAAAACATTGATAGTATCTGCTACTCCATTCTTCTCTGGGAATACTCAATTCTACCTATAGTCTCAAAAGGTTAAGTTTTCAATTCCCTCCACAAGTGTGTAACTTGCTTTCCTGGTGACAACTTTAAAGAACATCAGAAAATTAAACTACGTGAGGAAATAACTCTTAATGTATGTATTCATTACTACGTGTATTAGGATCTTGAGGTGGTCCACCTTAAAACTGCAGTGAAGAAACAAAAATAACATAAAATAAAAGAGAAAAGAAAGGAGAAAACAAACAAGGACGGGTAAGAAAGAATGAATCAACATGTCAGGTAATCCTGTTATATTACTATGAATCATCTAAAAAAAAAAAAAAAAATCAAATCAAGATTCCCACTCTTGAAGGTTAAAACTGCATCGCTGTTCCTGTGAAAAATAGGATAGGAAGTTACAAGTATGACTTCAATGATAAGCTACCACACTTTAATCCAGCCCACTTTTGCTCTTCCTTTGAAATATGGGGTGAATGAGGATATATCTCAAATAAATGTCATGATTAAATGAAATCATATACGTACAACAATGAGCACATCCGTATGTGACCCTCATATGGTTGTGACAATGATATGATTTTAATTTAATTTCTTTCTCAGTAAAGCAGTCCAGTGCATACCCTACCAGGACTCTGGATATGGTAGAGGAAAAATGCTACAATGACATGTACAAAGCAAGGTTGTAGGTCTTTTGGTAATAGAAGGAATAATGAATATCTACTTGTTGTAAAGTACCACTGAGTTCATTCTGACACACAGCAACCCATCAAAGTGTTTCTGAGTAATGGATGTTGGGTTGGAACCACTGACCTTGTGGTTCAAACCAACCTGAGGTCAAGTGTTTATCCTACAAAGACCACCAGGACTCCAAAATGCTGTCAGATTAATTTTGGCTCATAGCAACCCTGGATATAGTTTCTGAGGTTGTATATCTTTGTAGGAGCAGAAAGTCTCATCTTTCTCCTACAGAACAGCTGTAGGGATTGAACCTCCTACTTTGTGGTTCACACTCAAGTGCTTATCATACAGAGACACCACATTCCTGCATATTTATTAGGGAAACAAAGAAACAGGATATTCAGATTCATTAATCCATTGGTCTGTTTAGCCCATAGTTCAGTGACCATCATGGAGAAGAGGCTGTGCTACAAAGAAGCCTTCTCAGTGCTCCCTTCACATCCTTGTTCCTTAAGCTGTAGATGAAGGGATTCAGCATAGGTGTGACCACAGTGTACATCACTGAGGCAATAGAGGTTCTCTGAGAAGAATGAGTCACAGTAGAACTGAGGTAGACCCCAAGGGCTGTCCCATAGAACAAGGAGACCACAGAGAGATGAGACCCACAGGTGGAAAATGCCTTATACTTGCCCCCAGCAGAGGACATTCTCATTAAGGAGGAGACAATCTGAGAATAAGAGAAGAAGATCCCAGTGACAGGAAACACAGCCAGCAGGGCAGTTGCCATATACAAGAAGATGTTATTGAGGAGGGCATCAGAGCAGGCAACTTTGATCATCTGAGCCAGTTCACAGAAGAAATGTGGGATTTTAGTACCTATACAGAATTTCAATCGCATCATCAGTAGAATATGAAATAAGGAGACAGAGAAAATGATGATCCAAGACATCAGAACCAACAAACCACAGAATCGGGGATTCATGATGAATGTGTAGTGCAGGGGGTGACAGATGGCTACAAACCGATCATAAGCCATCACAGTCAATAGAAAATTGTCCAATCCAGCAAATATCATGAAGAAATACACCTGAGTGAGACATGCTATGTAGGAAATGTCTTTACTCTGTGTCTGGATGTTCACCAGCATCTTTGGAACTGTGGTGGTGATGAAACAGATGTCAATAAAAGACAGATTGGAGAGGAAGAAATACATAGGCGTGTGGAGGTAAGGGTCAGAGCTGATGGCCAGGATAATGAGTAGGTTCCCAAACACAGTAACCAGGTACATGGACAGGAAAAGTCCATAGAAGACAGGTTGAAGTTCAGGATCCTCTGAAAGGCCTTCTTTCAGCAGAAGGAATTCTGAAACTTTTGTGTGGTTATCTGCTTCCATCTAGCTGGTGTGTGTGCTGAAGAAAAAGGTAAAAGCCACATTCAGTAAAGAGCAAACTGACAAATCAGTTACTCATCACCTTTACAACACACCTGTATTTTATTATTGAGTACTTCCAATGAAGGTGATTCTTTCAGATGCAGGTAGCTCATTTCCAATTTAAATGTATATAGCATTTTAGACTTTTTGATATAACAGGAATATATCTTTCTAGCTTCTATTCACATGTTCAAATTCTATTTGAACCTATGCAGATAAACAAATTTCTTCCGTGACATGTCCCTTTCAAAGTAATTGTAAAAGTTAACTGAACAACCAAGTACATTCTTTTCTCCATTAATTTCCATCCATCACTCACTTGGGTACCTTTATGGTAGCAATTAGACACCATCTGAGTTCAAAATCTGCATGTTAAATGTGACCTGGCACTTCTTATTGAAGTGACAGTTAAGTTTTTTACTTCTTCTTCTTCTTTTTTTTTTTAAATATTGGCATTGTTATCAACTTTTTGTGAACCATAGAATTGCCTTTGGGAACAGAAGGATCTTAATGAATAATATGTATTTTTATTGTTATTAATGTGTTCCTTTAATGGCAATTACTTTGGATATAATTCTTACAAGCTAAAGTATAAAGCTGTGATTTAAAAAAATATGTATTTGGATCATACTTACTAGAATAGGGGGGAGGGATGGCTCTTTAGGATAAGCAATGGATTGTGAACCATACTGTTGGTGGTAGAAGGTACCCCACCAGTTTCTTCACTGGAGAAAGATGTAGATGTCTGCTCCCAAAAAGATATACAGCCTCTGAAACCCTACAGTCTTGCTGCATCAGAACCAACTCAACAGATTTAACAACTAGAAAAGGATTCTGGTTCTATCAATTTACTACTTGTGGGACCATGGGACATTTTTCTTAGCTACAGATCTCACCTCTCCAATAGGAGCAGTAAATACACACTACATAAAGAGTTTGATCATTTTAATCTTCTGTTCTCACAACAGAAGAATCTGTCTTGCATGGCTGCCATTTATAAATATGAAACTATGGCAGTGGTCAAGGATGGGACTGTGATCATTATAAGCACAAAATATCCATTACCTCTTCTGACCTCCATGCAGCATTTCTAATTAGTGACGATCCCTACAGCAACCCCTTTCAGAGACCAGCTGCCAGATCTATGCTTCCAAGAGGAATGGACATGCGGACAATGTAGAAAAGAATAGAGAATTATGTAATCACTAATATAAAATTTGTATGGTTTAGTCTGTGATAATGTACACATGCTCTTGAGTGAGGGTGTGTAATATTAATATCAATGGAGCTAATTACAAAGAACACCATGTATAGATTCTTTTAAAAATAGTAAAAACATAAAGCAAATCATACTAAAGAAAATTAAAAGTCAAACTTGAAATTTGAAATTAATATTTACATATGAATCAAAAGCAAAAATATTATCCATGTGCAATAAATAGTAATTAATTAAAAAAGAAATTAATATATATGAATAAAGATTCTTAGAACTAGGAGAAGAAAAACTGTGTAATCGTTATCCAGAGGAAGAAAGGAAACGCCAAGCATAGGATACTGAGAGAACTGAAGGCTTAGATGCTCTATAGGCAGTGAGCTTAGGAATTTGAGAGACTAATGAGAAGAGCTCTGGTAGCGTAGTGGTTACGAATCGGGCTGCGAACCTTAAGGTCAGCGGTTCGAAACTACCAGCCGCTC